GCAACCCGGCCCCCGGCTCAAAAAGGTTGCCTACCCCTGGTCTACATGGTTAGGGTCCAGGTTGCCTACAGGAGCGCCTCCTCCCATATAATCTGCCCTGTACTCAGGTCTTCTGGTGGACATTTACTCCAGTCAACCAAGACTAGGTTGGTGACTAAGCCAGAGAACTTTTTCATCAGCCACCCCTTAATTATGGAATGATCTGCTGGAAGAGATTTGACAGCTGATTATGCTGTCTGAATTTAAAACAGTATTGAAGAGTAATCTCTTCCAGCAGGCCTTTCCAGATGATTTAAAAAATTGTAAATTTTAAGGGATGAATTTTAAACTTGGGCCACATTCACACTCACATTTAACCCAGTTTTTGAGTCAAATAAATTTTGGATCACAGGATCGATTAGAAACGAAATGAAGTTCACACTGCATTTCCCATGGTCGAATGCCTCCCTGTCTATTTAACATGGTTCACGTTCACACTTACTTTTGCACCAAAACAAAATGGATTCTGAATCTCAGACATGTTCGACCCATCCCGGTTCTTTTTTTAAAAAATGTCAATCATATTATGCAATCGGAGGTGTGGCCACACACATCAGCTATTTCCCCCATGGCACCCACAGATCCATGCATCCCAGGGGAGAATCCCCCATGGCACCCATGAATCCATGCCTCCCAGAGGAGAATCCTCCATGGCACTCACGAATGCATGCATGCTAGAGCTGAATCCCCATGGCATCCACAGATCCATGCATGCCAGGGCTGAATCCCCCATGGCACCCATGGATCCATGCATGTCAGAGGAGAATTCCTGTATTGGGATGGGTTCCACTCCTCTGCGCACCCTCTGCCCATTGTGCCTCTCTCCTGGGTGCCCCAAATGTGATTGGAATTGACTTCACATTTGTGGTAAACTGCTTCTTTTCAAAAGAAATGTTAAAAGATCTGGATTCAAAATAACCAGTTCAGGTGGACTTATGCTGATTCACCCTGATTCAGCCCAAACACAGTTGGGGCTGAAATTGGCTCAAGTGTAAACGAGGCACATATAATCCAGTTTGCAAACCGGTTTAAATCATAGTGTGAATTAGACCTTGGATTGCTTTAATACGTATGTGTCTGTTTGTTCTTTTAAATTGATATATGAATAAATTATTCATATAATTTAAACTGTTTTTAAGTATTATGTTTTAATTCTATCATTGTTTAATTCTGTTTTAAGGGGTGGGAGGGTTTATGGGTTCGGGACTGTATTTTATATTGTATTGAGTTTTAATGATGTAAGCTGCCTCGATTGTTTGACAAAGAGGCGGGATATAAATAAAATTTATTATTATTTTAATTATTATTTTAACTGATGTTGTTTCCCCCCTCAATCTTTGAGGAGAGGCAGATAAGATAATGATGATAATGATGATACTTGGGAGGTTCATGTAGGAAGATGCAGTAAAATAATCTGAAACTAGGTTTCCATGAGCTGCCATTTAACAGTGATGCTATAAAAGCCTTCTCCCCTCCCCTGTTCATTTTTACATTTGTAAAAGTGATGTGCCTTAATTGAAATGTTAAATGCCATATTTTTTTTCTCAACTGGCATCTCCAGCGATCAAACTGTTGATACAGTTTTCAGAAAAAGCCCTTTATATAAGTCAAATGAAAGCTTGTGAGAAATATATTATGGTTTTCATCCTAAAATAAGACTCTCTATGGAGTCTAGGAGTGTTACTGCCTGCAAGCCAAAGTAGCTATATGTTATCTCCAGGATGAGAGCCAGTATGCCTTTCAGTACCCATTGCTGAGAAACACTGAATGGAGAGCATAGTTGCATTAATTTTAATTCATTAATTTTTTCAGTCATTTCATTCATATCCTACCTTTCCTTTGAAGTTGGACCCAACACAGTTCATGTCCTGCTTGTGGTCTTCTCATGGACACCTAGTATTCACAAGGACTTTCTCACATGGGAGGCAAACATCCTCCTCCCATGTTTAAATTGCCATTAAATCCCATCAATATCACACAACAACAGGATGATTTTCAGATGACGTTGGGTGACGTCACCATAATCCCTTGAATAAAGTGGCAAGATTGTGCTGCTCTTTGTTCATGGGATTTTCCTGTGAATAAAAAGCAGTGTGATTTTGCTACTTTATTCACAGGATAATGGTGATGTCACTCGACATCATCAGAAAATCATCCGATTATTGCACAATATTGATGGGATTTAATGGCAATTTAATGATGGGAGGAGGATGCTTGCCTCCCATATGAAAAAGTCTATAATTGAAACAGAATATTCAGCTATGTAGGCCTTTGGTACAACTGAGGTGCAGGAGTGAATGCAAGAGGGTTAATGCATTCTGTCATCTACTTATCTTTATAGGCAGCCATCACCCCTTCCCCAAGCCTCTCTGGAGACCTACACAAGCAATGTGGGATGGAGCGTTGGGCTACCAAGGGAAAAGAAACTTGAGGAACTTAGATTCTGACAAGGGGCAATTCACCCTTGCCCTTGCAGCCTCCTGTGTTTCATCACCATTTTCAAGGGGCTCTTTAGCCTCTAGAGACACTCTTTTGGGGGAGCATATGAGCAACAAGGGAAGCAAAAGACATGATTTTCCCGAAATTTCTCTAGGCTAATTTATCTTAATATCTGAACCCCTTTCTACTAGTTTGAGCAATTTGGGGTTTTGTTACAGAGCGCTCTCTTGAAAGAAAGAAAGAAAGATGAAAGAAAGAAAGAAAGAAAGAACTACATTGAACTACAATAAGAAACTTCTTGTCATTTGATTGACCTTAATTTTTTCTGTACTCCACCCAAGAATTGCACTGTCCCAATTAATGCTTACTTCTATTCCTGTTTCTTACCTAGGTAATATAATAGGTCTTATAGCTCCCATATCATATATATTAAGGGTTTGCAATTGGTATTTAGGTAACCAGGACAAAAACAAAATTCATCTTTATGGCTTAAGTACGGTAGCGGTTTCTTGCTGAGCCAGTGTGGTGTAGTGGTTTGAGTGCTGAACTAGGATTCCAGAAGATCAGAGTTCAAATTTCTGCTCATCCATGGAAATCCACTGAGTGACCTTGGGCATGTCACACAATCTCAGCCTAGGAGGGAGGTAGTGTCAAACCTCCTCTGAATAAAACTTATTAAGAAAATTGTAAGACAGGCTTGCTATAAGTTGGAATTGACCTGAAGGCACATAGCAGCAGCAGTTTCTTAAGTGAAACAAGAACAGCAACAGTAGCAACAACAAATCTTGATATACAGGGGAAAATGATTTATTCTTGCTGTTGTTGGAACTAGCAACTAGATTTGGGTCTAACAGGCTGTTCTTAATGGCAGTAGATGAGTTTGTTAGATCATGTCTTCACTGCAATAAACTATATTGCAATGTACTGTACTGTATAGTAGTGGAGGAATTTTAGCATTTTCAGGCATACTTTTATTAATACAAGATAAATTGTATGAAATAGTACTACAAAACAACAGTCTTGCTTTACCTTGTTAAATTGTTTATTATGGCCTGTTTAAATTATTTTTACTTTGGATGAGCTCAAAACTGTTTTGAATTGTTTTAAAATGTTTAAATTGATTTCACTGTGTGCCACTCTGAGATCCTTTGGGTAGGTTTTAAATACTTTGGTAAAAACACAACCTTTGTATCTGTGGAGGATCTATTCCAGAACCCCTTCCTTTCAGATAAGAAAAAACATGGGACCTCAAGTCCCATTGTCCCTAATGGCAGCACGATGTGCATGTGGCCACTACCATGGCCATGTACACGCACCACCAATTGATTACAGTGGAGCTTGCCTTCCACAGATGCTCAGATGCAAGCCCACAGATGGCGAGAGCCCATTGTATATATACATTCCTAACTTCAAACATTGCATGGGAGTATATATGAAAGCATGCCTGCCTGCTCCAAATGTTTGCTTATTTCAAAGCAGCTTCATTTATATACCGCATCATACCATGCTATGGGGTGTCTAAGCGGTTTACAACTGTAAGCTCATTGCCCCCCAACAGCTGGGTACTCATTTTAGCGACCTCGGAAGGATGCAGGCCTGAGTCAAGCCTGAGCCCTGGCTAGTATTGAACTCGCAACCTTGTGGTCTATGAGTGGGTGGCTGCAGTACAGGCATTTAACCACTGCGCTAATTGATTGCAGTTGGTATAGGAAAATCCCACGGGCCAGATAAAGGTAAAGGCTAAGGTCTTTTTATGTTCTTCTGTGTAAGGTGGACCTGTGTGGCAGTCTTAAATGTGCTGTTCCTCATTCTGGCATTATTTCAGAAATAACTCAGCATTACTGTTCTGAATCCACATAACATTGCAGCACAGTGCCAGAAATATTTGGGGGCTGCCAAAGCAGCTGCAGTTTCTAGTGAGAGAGCAAAGCCAGACTTTCTCAGCTAAAAGGGTTTCAATATTCTAGAAAATCATGTTCCCTGACTCCACATACATGATATGCACATGGGCCATAACTCTTTGAGTGATGGTAATTGCATGAAAGCAGTTAATAGGCTTATATTTGGTTAAGTGAATAGCAGACATGGGGAAAACTTGCAAAGCCCTAGGACTGTAGGAGATTAAAAAGAGGCCTTTGACTCCATTGCTTCCCATCACAATTCTAACAAAGGGTTTGGAATATTAATGAAAAGATTTGTTGCTTGTTATGGATCCCTCTGAGCCCATCAAGCCATTGCCCATTATTATTGCCAATGGATGATTAGCAACTCATTAAATTTCCCACATGTTAACATTAACTTTGTTCTAAATTTTTCTTTATTTAGAGATGAATTGGGTCTGTTTTTATCTTTGTTTTTTAAAAATATACTTTGTGCCCTGGCCCTCACTTTTGTGGCACTTTAAGCCCCTTACCCAGGGACCGGCAACCTTTTTGAGACCTGGGCCGGTCTCCACTAGC